ATTAACATGGACCATTGGTCCTTTACGACCCTGAAATACCTCCCAGTTCAGTCCATCTAAATTGTGATTGATTTACAACCCAATGAGTATGTGGAGGATTGGCTCGCTGACTTCTGAGGTTCTCTACGATTTTCACAGTCGATGCTCTGAATGTAAAATTTGCAGACGGACATCAGTCAAGGAAAACGTTGAAAAATGAGAACATGCCAGCGAAAAGCCGCTGTGATAAGACAGACTATGGGGCAAAAAACGGTGGCATACCCTCGTAGATAACGGGTGATGTATGAGCAAAACGGCACAAGAAAATCGAAAAGTAAATTCGCTCGTGCACTCAAACAAAAGTCAAAAAGAAAAAGTACAAAGACGGGGCGGAGCTTGGCATGCTGATGCGTCGGTGCGCCACGTTGAGAACTCGTACAAAGGCAAAATAGTCGTCATCAGGACAGGGGAAGCAAGTGCACACAAAGAGAAATGAATAAAGGATGCCAGATGAAGTCGCCAAAAAACCAAGTGGATCATGGCCACTTCAAATGATCGAAAGCTGATCCTGGAAATTTTGGCACTATGAGGCAATGGGAACTTGGGGAAAGAATCCTCAGAACAAGCTACTCCGATAGTATTCTGATGATGTCTAGTTGGACTAAATATTGAGTTCTACCGGCCCACACGAGGCCATTTTTATCGTGACAACTCAGGAGCCAGACTTTTGATCCTTCTGTGGAGATGGACTTCGTTGGATGAGTGAAATTAGCCATCACCAAGGATCAAAATGTATCCCATTTGATAGTTTTTCGCAAAGTACAGTTTTCAAAAAAATATAATGCCATCAAGCTCTGCATTTCTAATTGAAAATAATTTTGAATGAAAACCTCAAAAATCTCATCAAAAAGAGAAATTCATGAAGAAGGGGAAGGCATAAATGATGTCAGTTCCATGAAACCTCAGTGATGGTGGAAGAGCTGATGAGGGATGTCATAGGAGCTGAGATAGTGGTAGGACAGCACAACGGGGAGGGAAGAAGATTAGAACCCGCATTATAGTTCCTCTGGGATTCTATTCTCCTACACCTTTCGAATGCATCGTTTGATGTCGATCTATGAACAGTAATAGTTCTTTTAGCACTGACAAAAACAAGGTTAAGGTTGACCGGCCAATCCCTGAACAACACATGCAGGAATGTCACAAGTGGACAAGTGTTCAACAGTTCAATTGAAAAAATAAAGTAGAGAAAAAAGAGAGACGATTGAAGGTGGCCCAAATCACGCTGTTCGTCGATCTGGGAAGCATGATCCCTCCATAAGTGAACAGAATTGGAAATAAAAGTGATTCCCCCGACTAAGACATCAC